TTCTTTTTGGTGGACTATTATGTTGGTATATTTTTCTGTTCGGCATTTTGTTGGTATTTAAACGTATTTTAATATAACTAAGACTGCTTCAATTTTTTTTTATGTATAAGCTAAGAAATCTAAGCGCGCGCGATTATGAAGAAATCAGATAAATGGTTACATGAGTATAGAATGTGCGCTAATATTTTTTAAAAAAGAATTTGGGCTAGGTAAATGGATTGAAAAAACGCATACTGACTAAGTTACTATCAGAAAAGGATCAGGTTTATTCTCATTTTGTCGAGAAGACTGCAATACCATTTATTTAAATATTGCAATAATATTATTTGTTACAAATACTTTATGACAAACAAAATTAAAATACTGTGTAGTCATATGAAAGCATGTGAGGGCACCGCCATCGCCGCTTCATGCCAGTTTATCTCCTTACATGTTTTAGCAGGGAAATTATATAATATAAGCATACTTATATACGAGTTTTTCTAATATATATATATATATATATATATATATATATATATATATATATATATTACTATTCCTCTATGCCTTTTATAATTTCAGAAATATTATATAATATGATTACAAAACAAATATGAAAACATGCGTTTTCTCAAAATATATTACGAAACATAAATAGTCAAATTAATTCTAAAAAAAATAGTCAAATGGAAAATCTCATAAAAAGAGTTTAGATCAGAATTAAAAGAAAATGAAGGAAAATTAGAGTATAATATAAAACGTACGGATGATAAGCAAAGCAAGACAAGAGGGCGGGCCGGTGATTGAAGAAGATCACATGGGGGAAACATTTCCAAGTGCTTCTCTTATCCCTTCCTTCTTTCCTGACGTCACCTTTTTCTCATTTTCTTTTCATTCTTTTTTTTGGTAAAATCTTTTATTCATTTTGCCTTATCTAATTTATTTAATACATTAGCAGCTATATATATTAACGACTGTAGTGGAAATCCATGTAAAATGTTAGGTACGTGTAGTTTTAATAATTTTAAATTTTGCATTGATTAATTTAATAGTACCAACCCCTGCTTTTATTTTGCTGTTAAGCACGCATTTGCTGATAAACCTGGGGCTGTCCAAATAACTAAATAAATAATTCAAATTGTAGATAATGCAAGTTAATCTAGTTTGTGGACTGTAACCTCTAGGAGGTTATTATCTATCATAATTATGCTTGACACGAATTGGATCACTCACGTGTTAATGATAATTGTATTGTGACCAATATTGTGTTAGCTAAGACAAACTAATCTAAAGTATATTTGATGAATGATTCGTAACCTACAACATCGTAGTGTACAAAACTAAATTTCACTATCATCCTTGTCCCGTTATATTCTCTTTTTCGACTTTATTGGTTCGTAATATCTGTCAGGTATGAATGAGAAAGGGCTGCTACACAACTTGTTGGGGTATCACAATTCAAAAAGGATTCATCATTAGTTTCCGAGATGTAGATAATGTTAAAACAGGGATGTGGACAGTATTATTTAATATGTTTTTGCAAGTTGCTTAACTTAGATTGTTGGTTACCTGGCTAATATACATAATACTTATCTATTTCATAATGTTACATGTTTTAGGAAAAAAAATTAAATGCATGTTTTGTCAACTAATAATGATTAATTACAAGTTTTAAAAGAACTAGTTGTATATATTAAATTCTTATTGATTTAATTTTATGGGAAAAAGATTATCAAAAATGAATTTAGTGTATTTTTATTAATATGTATAAAAAACTATAATATACATCGTATTGAAATAGAGGAAGCATTTTTTAAGAATATTGCTATTTCAAGCAAACTTTTTGTCCAATGGAACATTGTTCTTGCGCTTGACCTCTTGCAGAATATTTTTAAATTTGTGTTTGCCCAGTTTTGTAGTCATTCCCTGGCCAAGTGTAACTATATAAGTAAGTGAGGAAACGAGTTAAATCAATTTTAAGGCCTTTTTGGTGTCTCCTTCTTTTCATTGTGCTACCGAGTGTTGTTGTGGCAAGTTGTTTCATAGTGTACAAGTGGAACTCTTTTGTAATATAACAATTAATATTTTGTGTGTTTTCGAAAGTTTAACTTCACATTTCGTCACCATAAATATTAACAAAAATCTCTCTCTCTATATATATATATGTGTGTATCTATATGTTTTTTTTTACTATTTGAACGGTCCAAACTTATATTGTATATCTTGATTAGAGTAACTTAATTTTCTATATGCTAGTAAAATATCACTTTCAAAATTACACACAGTCAAAAATACCATATCATTTTAATTTAAAAGTTAGTGTTTAGTATTTAGGAGATATGAATAATTTATAAACTCATATAAATGCTTTATAAAATTTTCTTAAATATATATAAATGATTGACAAAAAAAAATATATATATAAATGATTTAAAAGAGTTAATTTAATATTTTATAGCAAATTAAAATATTTCTGAAAATGTTCATAATTTAAAAGTAAATTTAAAAAGTGTATCAAACTTGTGGTAAAGTTAGAAATTTCTCCACGACACATTCATTGGACACAAAGTTTACGTTAATCATGCTTTCTCTCTAAAAAATTCTTGTTTTCCTCGTGTTGGAATGTTCTTGCAGCTACGAGTGTCTTGTGCACTTCCTCTGGGTGTTTTTCTCAGTTTGATAATGCTCATGATAAATTCATCTTCATCTATCTTGCTCCCTTTCTTATTTTTTTATATTGTGGCTATTGGTCGCATATGAGATTTTTATGTAGCTTTTTCAGTTAAAGTGAGAGTGCAAGATCATTTGTTTCTAGGCTTTGATTCATTGTTTGGAAACCAACTTATGCGTGTGTATTTTACATGTGAGAAATAAAAAAATCTTGCATTATGTAATGTTTGCAAGTAATCCGATTTTAATCGAATATACACACATGTCCATAGTATATGGTCGATTAATAAAAATGTACGTGGAATGTTAGTAACACTGGGTCGAAATAGCCATAGACGGTCCACACCGTTATCGTCATTTCAGTGAAGTCATAGACCCATCATCAACCCAGCATACACTTACGTAGACTTTAGGCTATTTCCAAAACAAAGCCCAATGGAGGGGCATCCACGGATCACATGTGTTTATTTCTCGTGATTAGCTTCACCATGTTTCCAATATTAATTATTGTTTTTAATCCTGTCCCATATATTAGTATGTTTTGATCAAACTCATATGAATAAATCTAGAGTCGTTAATGTGAAGGAGGGTCAAATTACGGGTGGAGTAAACGGGAACAAGGCGGGTAATTCAGGTGGTATATGCTTCTCTACAACGTTTGATAACGATGTAACAGTTGACAGATCTTTGATGAAACTGCGTCTTTTACCCGAAGGCATTTTTATGTCATGTCTCTTTCTCGCTTTAACAAATTAAAGAAATTATATAAACAAAAAAACTCAGAACTTTGTAATAAATTTTATACGCCTGTTGTTAAAAAAAATATTTCCTGCTGAGAGAATACTAATTTGGTAATAATTTTGTATTTTTTATTTAGTGGGGGAGAGAATATTATTTTGTTATTAGTTTTAACGTTTAACCGGGTGTGTACGATTTATCATTTGCGGTTCCGATAAATGGTTTTTGGGTTTATTATATACTTAGACACAAAACAAAACAAAACAAAAAATAGGTGTGAAGTTGTATGTATCAGAGGATGATCGGTTCAGTCTCACGAGAGATCCATTCTTGAAGCTCTCACATGTTTCCCATTTTTATCTTCTCCGTTCTCTCGTGTTTCTTCACAGATGGAGACAGTTAATCAATCATCGAAACACAATCTTCTATTTTTTTTTCTATTTTTGGACTTCTTATTTATTTATCTTATTGTGCAAAAGGACTTCTTATTTATTAATGTTCATAAGTCATGTCTGATAAATCGTATTTATATATGGATTATGAAGGCTAATTCATTAAAAATTATACTAAGAAAAAACTTTACAAAGATGTCAGAAACTTAAAGAAATGTTACCTTCCTCCTAAAACCTACTTGATCCTCTCTCAACTTAGTTGAAAGTTTCGTCCTAATAACATCTATTTTGATTGATGTCTTGGACTCGTATACATAAAAAGATTCAGTTACTACGTGCATATTTATACACATTGAATTATGTCTACATGTCAAATATTTCCTGGCGACAATAACCTATAATAGATATATGTTACTTATATGTTTGTAAAGGAATAAAAGATATATTATATATATAGGCCTACGTATAAAGATTGGTGCAGTGTACACTCCACACATAGAAAAAACGTTACCTCAACAATAGAAACAAGACACATAACAAATTCTATCCGATTCGTTCCGATCAAGAACACAGTTATATTTGTTCTTCTGTCTTTTCTGCTACTCCATGTCTATCATCTTCTCTCCTTTTTGTCTCTATTATCTCTCGCTCATCCTACATATACGTACACAAAACATTGACTACAAATCACTTAAAAAACTTTATCTACGATTTTTTTTTGTCTATTAAGTAAATACAAAGAAATTATGATGAATTAATTATCAAATGTCAGAAAAGAGCATCACAATTTTGACCAAGATGGAGTTACGACTATAAAGGAGCAAGAGTATTTTTTTGTCAATAAAATTAATATACAACATGTTAATACATAGCCAGAAAAGTAAAATAATTTTTTTTTTGCATCTCAAAGAGTTGTTAGAACATGTATATATATACTCTTTTGTTCGCAAAACAAAAAAAAAAGTTAATTATATTCTCCAACTATTTGAAGACAAAAACACATCTGTCTACTTCAAATAAATCAAATATATATAGTTAATTATGCCAAAAAGAAAGAACGTAAACCTGACCATATCTATTTGCTCACATGTATAAAACATCTATATATAACTATATCTCATACAAACCCCTTTACCGACTGTTCTTCAAACTCTATCTCTCTTCCCCTACTCTACTTATTTCCCTCAAACTAAGAGGAACAAGCTTTTCATCACCACCATGTCCACCCATACCAATCTCCACTCTCCTAAACCGGAGCATCATCGTATCTCTGGTACATCCCATACCAAAAAACCACAGTCTTCCTCCGGCTCTCAAGACCAACAAACCCTAAAATGTCCTCGCTGCAACTCCTCAAACACAAAGTTCTGTTACTACAACAACTACAACCTCTCTCAACCTCGTCACTTCTGCAAATCTTGCCGCCGCTATTGGACCCGTGGTGGTGCCTTAAGAAACGTCCCCATCGGTGGCGGTTGTCGGAAAACCAAAAGATCATTCAAACCTAACACAATAACTCCTTCTACATCTCAGAGATTCTACTCTTCAGTCATGGAAGATTCCTCCAAGTTCTTCCCTCCTCCAACAACTATGGATTTTCAACTTATGAATAATCAAGAAGTTCTTGGTCTTAGGTCCATGGACCAGGCCGAAACAACACACGTTGATGTCGGGTCGGGTTTATCTTTAATGGGTTTCGGAGACTACAACAACAGCAACAGAAACCATTCACCGGCGACGTTCACAACCGCCGGAACCCTAGCTACTTCGATAGAAACTTTGAGTTGTTTAAACCAAGACTTACACTGGAGGCTTCAGCAACAGAGGATGGCTATGCTTTTTGATAACTCTAAAGAAGAGACCGTCGATGTCGAGAGGCCACAGCCCATTCTTTACCGGAATCTAGAGATGGTGAACTCATCGCCGACGAAGAAAGGAGAGAATCAGACAGAGTGGTACTTTGGTAATAATAATGATAACGAAGGGGTGGTTAGTAACAATGATAATACTAACACAGGAGGAAGTGATCAATGGAATAATGGAGATCAAGCTTGGACTGATCTTAATCATTTTAATGCTCTGCCTTGATTCTTGGTAAGTTAAAGAAACTCTATAATTTGTATGATGAACATTTAAAATTATGTGTGTTTGTGATGTAATGCCAAAAAGTATTTATGTTAAGTTAGCTTTTGTTGTTGTTCTTGTTGGTTACTATTTTAATATTTAAATTTCAATTTGTAAGGGTATCTCCAATCTAGCTCCATTTTTTACTTCAAAATGGAGTAAAAAATGAGATGCTCTAACTCATTTTTTTACTCTATAACGAAATTTACTCCATAAATGGAATAATCTATTTTTTTCACTAGAAATAGAGTGGGATTAGAACATTTTTATTCCAAAATCATTTTTACTCTATTTTGGAATAAAAAATAATATTTTACATTAGAGATGCTCTAACAAACTCGGGTGAAAATTCAAGAATAAGAATGGAGAGAGACACTACAATAGATTCTCTAAACTTGTGATTTGTCTGTATTTTTAATTATTGTAATGTTGGGAAAATTAGAAACATGATTTACTGTGCTTAAAGCTTAATTATTGAAAGAGTTGCTCAAAACAGGCTTAATTATTGAAAGACTTCTTGGTTTGGTGGTAGCTGGTTGTTATCCCAAGGTTAATAACATTTCAAAATTTTCTTCAAACGTCATTTTCAGTGAGCAGATAATGTTTCCTTGGGATTAGTTTTATAGTACTACCTTTTAATAGTTGTAAATAACTGAGCTTAATTATACACACGTTGAGCCAAGTAGTATAATAGCCCATCCATTTCAATTGTGGTACAACTAGGATAGTAGGATTAAAGTCACAATAAATAGTGTGTACAACATCTATAGTCGTCCTGTACTAATTTGAAAATATAGATTGATGCTACATTAGAAAAATTGTCAGTGAAGTGTGGTCTAAGTTCTAACTAATTTACATACAAGCATATATCATCTTGCAGACACTGAGCTATGTCGAGTTTACGTGAAACATATAGATCAGGCCTTAGCCTTCTTTTGCAGCCTCTCTCTACCCCATCCTTAGATTCTTTCTACGTACATGAGTTATATACATGAACACACATGTATTCATTTATGTTAGTGTATATATATGAACATCTTATTACTGATGTTGGGAAGGTCTGCAAGTAGGCATGTGCAAAATCCGAACTTGATTATTTCAATTATTGCATTGTAATGTTAAATCGTCAACGATAATACACAACATTACAGGTTCTGGAAAACTATATATAGCTTTTAGATACAAAATGAAGATGTTTACGAGTTTACATTTTGTGGGTTCTGGAAGAATATTAACTTGTAAATAACAATAATCTACTTTGAACATTTTTATTGATCTTTTTGTTTAGTTAAGACTAAATTAAAGTGATATATATAGGCTCACTCATTTTGTGATTTAAAGTTATGGATACGGAGCTGTGTTAATCATAAAATCACAAGAGTAATCAAATCTTAAATTCCATCTTTTTAATTATTTTATCTAAACATTATTCAGTCAAAAAAAACATCCAGTATATTATTGATCTATCTGTAATAAACACATCTACAAGAATTACTTTTTTCTAGTTCAGATCACTTTTACAATGTTTCAGTCACTTAAGAGGCAATGTTAGTTTCGCCCCAAGAAAAAAGAGAGGCGATGTTGGCACTTTTGCATACTACAATTTACTTTAGAGCTTTTTTGTGATTGATCATTAGTAAAGTTTCGCTTTATAAGATTTTTGGTCCTAAGAACATTGTCTTTCGGACACCTTCACTTTTGGTTCCCTCCTCTTTATCATCTCTTTTTAATTAAGAATCAACCCTTTTGTTGCTTTTGGTTGAGACCATGTACATTAACTAGGCAAACAAAAAAAGCTAAAGTCTAATGTCATATAAGTAGAAAAACATTATATAGGTTTTTATAAGAAAACAAATAATGTAAAAACTGCAATATAGTAAAACTGAGAAATAAAATATGATAGAAATATTTTTTTTTTGGGATGAATTAATGAAACCGATAGATAGTAAAGGAGCATGAAGAATGTGAATACAAAGTGATGTAACAGCTTTTATATCGTGCAATATGAATAAATTTAATATGTCCCTATTTCACGGCTTTGCTACAACTCACAAGAACCTAAACCAATCGCGAGATTTACCACCACTCTTGAGAGGAGTTTGGTTAAATGCAACAACATGCATGTTTATGCGTACTGATACGTAAAATGTTCAGACGTCGTCTTGAGTGTTTGATTGATATATAGATTGATATATAATTTGTTTTTTCAGTTTCTATGCTATATGTTAAGCTAAAGTGGGTGAAAGTAAACTACTAAATCACCTCAAAATATTTTACAACTTCTACTTTTAACTGGAATCAAATTTCTATACATGTGGCCGCCGAACCTACATTTTTTTTGGACTAAAGACTGCAGGAGTCCAGGTTTTGATTTCTTCTTCGACTCGTAAACAAATGGTGGTGATTCGAAAAGAGAGGCGGGGCTGAAACATGGCGAGTTTGGCCGCGAATGAAGAAACCAGTAAAGCTTAAGAGGTCTTATTAGACTCGATTACGTGGAGTACAAGAAAGGGTGTTTAGAATCTTTGTCCTTTGGTTAGAGTCTCTTACACAAGAGTGTTACTTTGTTTTTCTCACAACAACGCTTTTTTTCCTTCTGATCCTTTGGTTAGTTAGATTCTTGCGCTATATATGTTGTTATAAATTATAAATTATAAATTAGAGAGAGAATGATGAATGAGATTTGTCTGAGACTTTTTTTTTTAACTCAATATCACTTAGAACTCTTTATTAGAAGGAAAACTTGAATTCAAAAACAATGATACACTTAGAACTCTTTATTAGAAGGAAAACTTGAATTCAAAAACAATGATACAACAATACATCAATGATACTTTATCCATTTGTGGCTTCAACACTCGCTGGAACAACTTGCAACAACTTTATATGTTTGGATGTTGATGGAAAACCTTCCACAACCAAATTACAAAACAGATACACAACCACCTTAATACTAAGATGATACTGACTAAACTATACATGATATTACTGTCTGTACCACAGAGTTAAGACAAAAAAAAGGCACTATCTTCTTCTTGCCTCTTGATTCAGAGAAGTCAAACATCATAACATAAATCAAAAGCAACACTGTATAGTCCGTCCTTAATTGAGCTAAGCCAGCTTCAACCATCAAAAGCCACACTCTATAGTCCCACCGTATCTGAGCAACAGACCAACAACAACAATCAGAAGAAATAACACAAACAAACAAACAAACAGAGAGAGAGAGAGAGAGAAGAGAGGTGATCAACAGTCTCACTTACAAGATCAACAGAGAAGACCTGACAAGCCGCTAACAAAGAAGGATCCAAAACCCAAAACAGCCCCATCATCGAGCGAAGCAAGCGCCACAGCATCTGAAACAACAAAAACGACAAGTAGATCGATCACATTGAACAAACAAATAGGCCAACGATGCAAGTTAAAAACAAAAACCAGAAAGAAAAAAAGAAAGAAAACAGGGGAAATTTTATAATTGCAAGACTGATTTGGAGTAGGCTCAGTGATCATAAGTGTTCAAAACAAATGAAACATACTTTTACATCTAACCATCTCATGAGACAGGATATCTGCTCAAATGTTATCTCACAAATGTACACATACAAGTTTCCTCACGATCAAATCAAGTTGTAAATCACAAGACCGATTTGGAGTAGGCTCAGTGATATCATAAGTGTTAGAAACAAATAAACATGCTAACTCTAACGGACTCGTCAACAACAGTAGGGGACATATTCTGCTCAAAAGGTTATCTCACAAATTTTCACATAAGTTTCCTCACGATCTAATCATGTTTTTATAAAATTTCCCCTTCAAAACCAAAGAAAGAAAACATTTCAAAACCGAAGAGGTAAAACAACAGGATTTTGGTAATAAGAACACCTGATAAATGAGTGGAGAATGATCAAGGCACCGTCCCATCTAACCAAGCATACTCTCCACAATCTAAAAAACAAACAAACAAACAATTAGATTACAAAAAAGCCACTTGTAAGTGGAGAAGGGAAGAGCTCGAAGAAAAAACACACCTTGAAGACGCAACATCATCCAATGTGTCGTTGTCGAGAGGTAGCTGAGAGAGACAAGAAGACATTAAAAGTTCTGTAAGAGGAACTCTTTATTTATAGATAGATAGCTGAGAGAAAGAGTTCATTAAGACATCAAAGCAACGGTCTTATTTTAACCGGTCCAAATTAAACTCTATTTTTTATTTATTTTTTTCCTTTGTTCCAACGGCAACTTTGCTGTCGCATCAAGCTTTTTACTGCAAGCTACTGTAGTTTTTATAGTACTGAGATTTCAAAATCCAGGGCAAATCCCTTATATTAAAAATGTATAATAAATATATATAAGAAAATACTTGTCTGATGCTAAGAGGCACGATGCTAAGGTTTCGATTTATATATAGTGTAATTAGATTCATGTTGTATAAAAGTAAATATTCCTCAAGAACTTTAAATGAATCTTTATTAATATATTAAATCTATCATAAAATTAGAGACCCCACCAAAATAAACTCATTAAAAACCTTTTTTTTCTTCTTACAAACAACTTCTTCAAAAGACGACACCACCACTAGATTCAATATACAGTAATACTAAAACTCATAGTTTGTTTCTGATATATTAAACCACTAGATTGGTAACAGGTAGCTTCTATAAATCAAATAAAACCGAAACCCTTGACTAACCAAACCATAAACTGGAATGTGTACACTTAGCCACAATGTTAAATTCATATAATTCATAGATGGATTGGTGGAGAAGTGTGAAAGTGATGTTGAGCTATTAATTACCTTACCTCGATATAAAAGGCATCAGAAAACCCAGACATGACACGGCAGACCATGAGGAATGGACTATACCTACACATAACAACGAAAAGTTCAGAACTTATGTTTGCTATTATTCAGCTTCAAAGATACAAAGGCCGTTAGACACATTTTTAATTTATAGGAAAACGAGAAAGTCAAGAAATAATGTTTTATTACCATCCCGCTTTTCTCCCAAGCACCTATAGTAACTAAATCCAATGTGTCACCTAATCCATCTACATAATCTTGCTTCAGCTGAACCAACAAATTTTAGCATCAATGAATCCATTTCTAGCACATTTAGCTTTGATAAGAGAATTTACAGAAGGAGACCTTAAGCCATGAATCAGAAGGATCAACATCTAAAGACTTAACCGTGATACCTTCACAGGATGACTGAAACATTTATTCTACACAAAAAGTGTCTTGGTTATTCAAAGACGCTTCTTCTGATCCAACCTATTAAACAATGAACAGTTCAACGAATATACCTTTAGTACTTATAATATCCAAGATTATCAACATAGTCAAGTCATATCTACTCACAAATTCAAAAACCAGAAGCAGACACATAAGCATTCTTACATTGCTAATAAAAACCGATTGATCTTCAACTTCTCCTCCTTGCCTTGTTGATTTTCTGCAATAAAAAATCAGGAAAAAATGACTTGAAAAGGCCAAACAACGGACTACAAGTAAATCAACTATCAGTTATTGAAATCAAAAGATAGATACAAACACCAAGTAACCTTAAGCCTCACAGTTCCTTCCCAACATTTCATGTAGATTCAATTTTCTTTATTTTCACGTTTCAATGTAAAAATTCACACTTTTCAAAGTAAAAGCATACCGTTGATAACTCTATAACTTTGACGTGTCAAGAGTTTATCAACTCAGCCGCCATTTGTGATTGCCAGATGTTCAAACAGAACAAGTCTTCCCATGGCTAGCATTAGGTCACATGATTCCTTACTTACACCTCTCTAAGCTCATAGCAACAAAAGGCCATACCGTTTCCTTCATCTCCACGCCTCGTAACATCTCCCGTCTTCCCAAAACACCCTCCTCCTCCGACAACAACCTTTCCATAAACTTTGTTTCCTTACCATTACCTCTTGTCGACAACCTCCCGAACAACGCTGAGGCCATCACTGATGTCCCAGAGACTCACATCGGTTACCTCAAGAAAGCCTTCGATGGTCTTTCAAAACCTTTCTCAAAGTTCTTAGAAACTTCCAAACCGGACTGGATAGTGTATGACATCTTGCACTATTGGGTCCCTCCTATCGCTGAGAAGCTCAGCGTGAGACGTGCCATCTTCTGCACGTTCACTGCATCTTCCATCATCATCATAAACGGACCATCATCGACAATGATACAAGGTCGTGATCCACGCAAGACTGTGGAAGATCTAATCGCGCCTCCACCATGGGTCCCGTTTGAGACCAACATAGTTTACCGTCCCTTTGAGGCTAAGAGGATCATGGAGTATCCAACGGCAGGTGTAACCGGTGCTGAGTTAAACGATAACTATAGAACGGGGCTGGCTTACGCTGGGACAGAGGTTATTTTCACTAGAACCGGAGTGGATACAGTTGCTTAGTAAGATCCAGGGAAAGCCTGTGATTCCAATAGCTTTACTTCCAGCTACAACAACGGATGATATGGAAGATGATGATGATGATGATGATAAGACATGGCTAGAGATTAGAGGATGGTTAGATAGACAGCGAGCTAAGTCTGTGGTTTATGTAGCTTTAGGAACTGAAGTGACAGTTAGTGACAAAGAGATCCAAGGTTTAGGTAATGGGTTGGAGCTTTGCGGGTTACCTTTCTTTAGGACACTAAGGAAAGCTTCTGTGTTTCTTCCTGATGAATTTGAAGAGTGAGTCAGAGGGCGTGGAGTTATTTGGGAAGAGTGGGCACCTCAGGGTAGGATACTAAGTCATGATTCAGTCGGTGGGGTTTGTGTGGGTGGGGATGAGTTGTTGAGGGGCTTGGCTTTGGTGTTCCTTTGATCATGTTTCCGTGTAACCTAGACCAGCCGCTTGTTGCTAGGAGGCTGGCTGGGATGAATATAAGCCTCGAGATTCCAAGGAATGAGCTAGACGGGTCGTTCACTAGTGCTTCTGTGGCAGAGACAATCAGAGTGGTTGTTGTGGAGGAAGAAGGAAAGATCTACAGAGACAATGCTGAATCAATGCAAAAGAAAGTATTCGGTTGCAAGATCATCAGTATGTTGATGGTTTTATCAAGTTCCTAAAGAATCACAGAGCCGGAATGTAGAGCAAATAATAGTGACAAATAAAAAGTTACTGTACATTCTATCAACTAAGATGTGTAAAAGAAGTTGGAATAAAGCACAATCTATGTAAATAACTCTGCACATACTAAAAGTTCTTCAGATATTAAGAAAACTGAGTGATTCCAAACCTATTATTAACTTGGATGAGATATCAAATAAAGACATTGACCCAAAAAAGTTTAAGGCTAAGAGGGTTATGTGGTAGTTCGCCTCTATACAACATGCTATTTTTTTGGTAAAGAACATGCTATTTGGTAGGCGAATATCCCTTGTTTTCAGAATATTCTCAGAAATGAATCACTAATCTATCTACATCAAAAACTCTCATCAAAAACTCAAAATTAGTTTCTTAAGCAGCAATAATGAATGGTTATGGAATAGTTAACAAGACAATGCTCAAAGAATCACAAAGTATAAGATGGAGAATACTGAAGTAACCTCCTAGTTCACTACCACCTAATCTCTTAGTGATTTGGATTTAATATTCAAATCAAGATTCAATTCATTGACTCACTTTGTGTAAACCAACAAGATTGTGGCGAAGCACTCCGTCTCGTTGTAACTAACCTTCTAGAGAAGCGTTCTCCAAAGTGTAGTAAACGCCATCTCCGTGCAGTGTAAATCTGAAAACACACACAGTTCAACATTTGAAAATGGTACCAAACAAAAGTCACATACAATTAGGATTGAGCTTGGACACAGTTCAACGGAAGTAACATCGGAAGATGATGAAGCGGCGGAGATTGCCTTGTCAAACAGAAGCCACGACTATCGTCGCCGAGAAGCGCCATCCTCAGTCTAATTCTCACTTCGATTTAAAAAGTTCTGTTTTGTTTACTAGTAAATGGGCTTAGCCTTTTGGCCCATCGAATAACCCACTAAAACAAAAACAAAAATAACGCGCCAGGAAGGGGTCGAACCTTCGGCCTTCCGCTTAGGAAACGGACGCTCTATCCACTGAGCTACAGGCGCCCTCTTGTCTCTTAATTAAAACTAAACATCCCTCACTCTCCTAGACATTTCTCTCTCAATATATAGTCTTCTCGGCCAAGATCGATCCAGAGGAAAGCAAAAGAGAACCAATGGCAACAGACCCAATCATCCAAGGAGCAATCATGCTACTCGCCTTCATAATGTTCTTCGCACTCAAATACATCTCCCAACAAGGCCTAACCAAGTTCCGAACCAAACACCGAGCCACACTCCAAACCCAACGCCAACTCATCCAAGCCTCCCACCTCCTCGCTCGAGCCCGAGCCACCACAACCAAAAAATCTCAATCCCAATCCCTCGCCAAGTCCGCTCTCACCGAAGCCGACGACGTAATCGCCATCTCTCCCGACGACGCCGCCGGGCACATCGTCCGCGCCTTATCTCTAGATCTGCTCGGTCACCACGTGGCGGCTCTCAAATCGTTTGATACGGCGTTGAGTTATCCGCGGGCTAAGTCGCTTTCGGTGGGGGAACGAGCAGATGCGCTTGTGAAGAGAGCGGAGATGAAGGTTGCTGTGAATCGGAGGCGGAGGAATGATTCTGCGATTGAGGATCTGGAGGAGGCGGTTAGGCTTGGCGCCGGGACGGATGCGGCGAGGTTGTTTCGGAGTTTGGGGGAGTGTTATGAGTTCAAGGGGATGAATGAGAAGGCCCAATGGGCTTTTAGTGAGGCTTTAAAAACTTAGGAGAGTTGGTAGCTTTCTTTTGTAACTTCTTGGAGAGTTTCACTTTGTATCCCCGCCATTTTGTACTCTTTGTTGGTTTGTGAGTATTCTTTTCAGATTTACAGTATTAACTGTTAACCATATGTTTAAGGGAAAATTCTTATATAATCCAAAAAAATATCACAAAATAGCACAAAAAACAAAAATAGGATTAATCAAAGGAAAAAATAATTAAATTACTCTTTTTTAACAACAATTAAATTACTCTTAATCCTAAATTTTATCATTAAATTACTTGTTTCCCTTGGTGAGCTTAAAGAAGAGCTCAAGGTTAAGACAATGGTGGAGGCTAAGCCACGTGCCAAATTTGAGCTAGAGAGCGTTGTGTTAAAGAAAGGAGAGATGATGATAGAGATTGAGAAACTCAAGAACCAAGGAGATGTTTTCAACCGTAGGATTGGGTTTTGCAAAGAGAAAGTGGCTATCGGGTATAGAGAGTTACTCTGATCGTTTGAGGTTAAAATCTGGTGGTAACTGAACGAATGTGTAGCGAGGGAGGATCAAACACACAAACATTGCCTGTGATGAAGAATGGTTAAGCCATGGGACATGATACATCTCCTATGATAAATCTGAGATTAGATTATCAAGTTCTGACAGAAGCTTCCTCCTAGTTTTCAGGGTGTAACGTGTACAACGTTGGGAGTTCTTGTGTTGTCGAAAGTAAGCACATGACATGTGATTCAAGATAGAAACCGAAGGTTATGTACATGTACGCTATTATTTATTACACATCATCATTCAACCACAAAAGAACAAAAGGAAAAAAGGGATTGTTTTTTCTTTGTCCGAACCAAATAATCTCGACCGCAGAAGTGAAGAAGCAGAAAACACTTTCACTTCAAAACACCCACCCAACATTAAAAATATCCAAATAGGCAAAATCATATTCATAGCATACCAATTCTTCATTCATTTTATGTTGCCAAGTCTCCATCACCATCTTCTTCTTTGTCCATTTGTAGACTCTTGAAGGATGACTTGTTGTCACTCACTTGAAATAGAGAAGTCTCCAGAAGCTATCTATCCTTCCTCCTTTTTTTTACTTTTTCTTTTTCTTGTTTTTTTTCTTGATTATTTGATTCTTAGTTATGATAATAAAAAAAACATGAGAGAACTAGTCTTAATCTTTCCCAATCCTCCAAGTCCCTTACAGCTTCCTTATAGAAGACAGCCACTGTTCCATATTCTTCCCATCTACAGATTCAATTCAGAATCCTAAAGACTATTAATTCACTTCTCACTCTTAGTGATAAAAAAAAGTTTGAAGCTTTAGGTTGCAAATCACTGAGATCAACTAAATCATGCACATTTAAGCCACATAATTGCTATTTAATGATGATGATGATTACCAGGATTAGGAGAGAGGAAGCCATTCAGAATCTGATTCCCTGAACCATCCATAACCTTCTTGTAACAAGGAACAAGAACCACAAACCCACCACCACTATCATCCTCACTTTTAAACCCTGGTCCATGTGGCTCAACCCAACCAATAGACCACTCTGGATCATCTGGTTCAGGGAACACAACATTCCCCATCTTCTCCTCCTCTCCTCCTCTACCAATCCATCCTCTCTTAACCTTCTTCACCGTAGATGAAGAAGAAGATTCAGTCTTAGTAGTCTTCTTCAGTGAAGGAGGAGATCCCTTTGACTCTTTCTTAGTGTTACCACCACCACCACCACACAACCACCTCGGAAGACGAGGGAAAGAGACTGCCATCTTTAAAAAAAAAAAAACTCCGAACCTCCGGAGATGAACTATGTTCAATCAGCCATGGATCAATGCTTCTATCTTCTTCTCCGATCTGTTATCAATAAAAATTAACACTTTCATTACATAAACCATAACACTGACTAAACACAAACACACAAACAGTACACTGTAAGCAAAATTCAGAAACCAAATAAAACATTTCAAATCCACTAATACTGTTTCTGATGTGATCAAACATGATAAAACTCAGATTTTTATTTATTATTTTTTTCTGGCGGATTCTTCATGAATGGAAAGTAATTAATGCTTCTTAAGATCGGTGGTCCAATTAAAGAAAAATCGCCAAAAATAGAAAAACAAAAGCGAATCAATAAATGAAGCAACAAGGGGGAGAGGAGGAGGATCAAAAACTCCGACTACAAGTCCGTCAAATCACGGCAAGTAGTCGCCGGAAAATTCGCCGGAAAGAAATGCTAAAAAGTTGGAAGAGGAAAATGAGAGAAATCTCCGGTAATTAACGTAAATTACCGAGAAAAGTTCAGATCTTTCGAACGGTTTTAGAATCACGTATAGTCTTTAAGTCTCTGATCTTTCTCTGTTCTGACTTTTTTCTCTGACTAGTTCTACAAAAGAAGAAGAAGCTGCTCTACTTCCATTTATATTACTCTCTTTTCTGGAAAAAAAATTCAGTTTTTTTTATTGGGCTTCGTTTCAGCGAACCCAATAAAGTTTGATCCGACGGTTGGTAGCGGTTTACTTAGTTTAATGGCAACTTTTGGTGTACGCTTCTACTATAGACGCTACAACACTTGATTCCTACAAATAACCAAATAGTGGGAATATTATCACGGTTTTGTTTTTAAAAATTATAAAACAAAACATTTTGGTTTTCTTATTAATTAAAGTAATTTGTATAATGATGATAGACTTTAAAGGAGTATTACATATCTTGGAACTTTCAATTGGAGGAGATTATGTTGCAAGTTCATGTATATCCCTTGAATCAATCATCTAGTTCCTAAATGGATCTATGTGTAATTATAGTGATGCTTTTTTAATAATAATAACGTTTACCAAACCCTTAACTTTATCTCAGTTAATGGACCTTTTAATCAATCAAGTCTATAGGTGTCTTTTTAACTTTAGTTAATGAATACACAAACGATGGTAAATACGTGTAACAAGTCATATATAGAGGGTGGACTATTGATTTCAAGTTATACAGTGCTAATTAACCGGAGAAAGATAATTAGCGCATTGATCAGAATCAGAATATGTTACAAATGGCATATGCTATATACACTTGTTGGTGTCGTCAGTTGAAATATTATAGCTTATCCCCTTCATATTATATAACAAATCAGATTCATTCATAACTCAATTTCTAATCAAATGTGTAATTATTTTATCCAGCCTCATCTAAAGGATATACTAACACTTCTTCTAATCAAACATAGCATATACAATCTAGAGCCGAATAAGTATAAATCGACTGCTTCGGTTCACCTAACGATTAATAATTGTTGACGAAAATGAGTCAGCAAAGGCTAACCTTAGTGGGCTTCACGAAGCCCAATCTATAAGCTTTAATCAAAAGCCCATATTCTAACTTTTGACTTTAATTAAACAGTGTCAACTGAGCTGGAAGCTGACGCACTCGCTCTTATCAAAAAATCCAAACCTTAGCCACCTTCCCACGCGCCTCACCTTACGTTCCTTTATTTCAAGCAACGACGTCGTTTTAAACGGGAGTTTCATCCACGCGCGAGTAGAGAGAATCCCTTTTACAGCTAACTCCTGACTCGTCTTTCAGACAGAACTTTATTATTGTTCTTTTTCTCAAATTTTTTTTTTTCTCTTCCTAAAAATTTCCTCTAGATTTCAAACCTCTCTCTCTCTTCTCTCTCTAATGGCGGCGACGATGAGCAGAGACCAATACGTCTACATGGCGAAACTCGCCGAACAAGCCGAGCGTTACGAAGAGATGGTCCAATTCATGGAACACCTCGTAACCTCCTCAACCCCATCCACCGAACTCACCGTAGAAGAGCGTAACCTCCTCTCCGTCGCTTACAAAAACGTGATCGGATCTCTACGCGCCGCGTGGAGGATCGTCTCTTCCATCGAGCAGAAGGAAGAGGGTCGTAAGAACGAGGAACACGTGTCGCTCGTCAAAGACTACAGATCTAAAGTGGAGACAGAGCTCTCCACGATCTGTACCGGGATCCTCAGGCTTCTCGATACGCATCTGATACCTTCGGCTAGTGCTAGTGAGTCCAAAGTGTTTTATTTGAAGATGAAAGGGGATTATCATCGGTACATGGCTGAGTTTAAATCTGGTGATGAGAGGAAGACTGCTGCTGAAGATACTATGGTTGCTTATAAGGCTGCTCAGGTATGTTTAGAAGTTTGACTTTTTTTAGTTAAGGAGAGACTCTTTCTGAAACAAAAGGTTTTGTGTTTTTTTTGTTGTGTTTGAAGGATGTTGCGGTTGCTGATCTAGCGCCTACGCATCCGATTAGGTTGGGTTTGGCTCTTAATTTCTCGGTGTTTTATTATGAGATTCTTAATTCTTCGGAGAAAGCTTGTAGCATGGCTAAACAGGTACCTTTTTTTTTTACTTCTCTAATAAGCATCTGCATGTTTTGTCTGATTCAGACAAGAATCATTGCCTTGGTTTGGTTGATGATGTTTTTGAGTGGCTACCACTTGTGTCCCCATTTTTGCATTCACTGTGTTGGATTTGATGATAATGAATTTTTGAAAAATTTACTAGAAGTTGTTCGATTAAATGTAACGTTTTCTTCTTTATGAATGGACCCACTTTTTTTTTGTAATAACAGAGATTCTAAAGAAAAAGACATACTTCAAATGAGAGATTAGATTGAGTCATGCAAGAGAGTTTGATTATTGTGCTTTTGGTGCATGTTGGATTGAGAACATTGCATTTTTAACTCGTGCTTGGTTGGATTTTTTTAACCTTGTAGGCTTTCGAGGAAGCGATTGCGGAGCTGGACACATTGGGAGAGGAGTCATACAAAGACAGTACTCTCATCATGCAGTTGCTAAGGGACAATCTAACCCTCTGGACCTCTGATATGCAGGTTAGCTCTCTAATATACAATTACAATCAGTAGAAATCGATTAGTGTTGTGATCATGCTTTGACCATTTAAAAACTTAATGGTTGACTGATTTAATATAGGAGCAGATGGATGAGGCCTGAAGATCTTATGGAAGAACATACTGTTATGTAATATCTTCACAACCGTGACTGAGTTTAAAATCCAAAACCCCCTTTGCTCAAAAACTTGTCGAAACAAAAAAAAATATGTGTGTTTATGAGAGATTATGTGCACAGCTTTGGTGTTATCTGCTTCTCTGCCCAACTCTGTTTTTCTTTGTTATTTTACTACCCTCATTTTTAATTCATTTTCTGCAAGATATTATATGTTGCATGTTGGAGATAAACTTGACAACAACTTGATAAGCAAGCTACCGAGTTCCTAATATATAGGAGATTAGGATAAAAGAGAATATACTTACCTAATGAGTTTAGGAAGTTCTACGAATCTATATAAGGAGTTGTTAAAGTTGTGACAACCTTTATGAGTTTGTGAGAGATTCTTAGTGAGAGCTTAAGTTTTTGAGAGATTTTTCTTGAGCTAATAAAAGGGTTTTCTTATAATCTTACGTTTACTATTTGAAGTTAAATCAATAATTGGTATCAGAGCTAAAGATCTGGTTGAAACATCATGAGTGACANTCTTGAGCTAATAAAAGGGTTTTCTTATAATCTTACGTTTACTATTTGAAGTTAAATCAATAATTGGTATCAGAGCTAAAGATCTGGTTGAAACATCATGAGTGACAACATGGCAATAACAACACGATCTCAAGAAAGAATACCATCGTCCATCACATGTCCTATGCTTACATCTACTAATTATACGGTATGGACAATAAGGATGAAACTTCTTCTCAAGGTTCATGAGGTATGGGAAGTTGTTGAAACAGAATCAACCGAGAAGAAGAAGAATGATATGGCAACTGCTTTAATCTTTACAGCTATTCCTGAAAGCCTCGTACTGCAATTTGGAGATCTTGAAACTGCAAAGCAAGTATGGGAGGCGATCAAAGCTAGGTATCTTGGAGCTGACAGAGTTAGAGATGCAAGGTTGCAAACCTTGATGGCTGAATTTGACAGGTTACAGATGAAAGACACAGATACTATAGATGACTTCGCTGGCAAGCTATCAGAGGCTTCTTCAAAATCAAACGCTTTAGGCGTAATTATGGAGGAACCAAAGATAGTAAAGAAGTTTCTTAGTAGCTTACCTGACAAATACATTCATATTGTTGCTTCTCTTGAACAAGTCCTTGACCTAAACACTATTACGTTCGAAGAAACCGTAGGAAGAATGAAAGCTTATGAAGAACGTATAAAGAGAAAAGAAGAAGCTAATGCAGAGACTCAGACAAAATTGATGTATGCTAATGCAGAGAATCAAAACCAGTACCAAACTCAGAATCAACACTATTACAGTAACAGAGGTCGAGGAGGAAGATTTGGTAACAGAGGAAGAGGTCGTGGAAGAGAGTTTGACATGTCCAAGATAGTTTGTTTTAGATGTGACAAGCTAGGACACTTTGCGTCTGCTTGCCCAGATCGATTATTAAAGCTACAAGAAGCTTATGAAACGAAAGAAGATGACACACAGAAAGCAGATGGACTTCTGATGCATGAGATAGTATACTTAAACGAGAAGAATGTGAAGCTAAAAGAGTTTGAAACAGACTCAGACAGTGATAAAGTATGGTACCTAGACAATGGGGCAAGTAATCACATGACTGGAAGGCTAGAATACTTCAAAGATATTGATGATACAATCACAGGAAAGGTGAGATTTGGAGACGATTCCAAGATAGACATCAAAGGCAAAGGTTCAATACTGTTTATAAGTCAAAACACAGAGAAGAAGATCCTAGCTGATGTATACTATATCCCAGACTTGAAGAGCAACATCATTAGCTTGGGACAAGCAACAGAGTCAGGGTGTGAAGTAAGAATGAAGGAAGAAACACTTACTTTGCATGACCGCGAGGGAAATCTGATAGTAAAAGCAAAGCGCTCAAGGAATAGACTCTACAAGGTAAACATGGACATTGTTAACAACAAGTGTCTACAGAGCATAGTTCTCAGTGAGTCCAACAAATGGCATTCAAGACTCGGACATATTGGCTTAAAATCATTGGAGGCAATGGTGAGAAAAGGAATGGTGAGAGGATTACCAAATATTTCGATTGAAAAGGAGACATGTGCATCTTGCTTACTTGGCAAACAAGCTAGACGTCCGTTTCCACAAGCAACTAGTTACAGAGCTTCACAACCTCTGGAACTAATACACGGAGACTTATGTGGTCCGATCACTCCACCTACAGCTGGTAGAAATAGATACATTTTTGTTCTTATAGACGACTATTCGAGATACATGTGGTCTATTCTCCTAAAAGACAAAAGTGAAGCAATGGAGAAATTCAAGGCGTTTAAAGCATTGGTGGAACAAGAGACAAAAGAATCAATACAAACATTCAGAACAGATAGAGGAGGAGAATTCACATCCAACGAGTTCAATCAGTTCTGTGAAACACATGGGATTAAACGGCACCTGACAGCTCCATACTCACCACAACAAAACGGAGTCGTTGAAAGGAGAAACAGAACACTTCTTGAGATGACAAGGAGTCTACTGAAACATATGAGCGTACCAAACTACTTGTGGGGGGAAGGAGTTAGACATGCAACCTATATCATTAATAGAGTAGCTACAAGAGTCTTGAATTTACAGACTCCATACGAGGTGTTGAAAGGTGTGAAGCCAAACGTTGAGCATATACGAGTGTTTGGATGTGTGAGCTATGCTAAGACTGAAGCTCAACATTTGAAGAAACTTGATGACAGGTCTCGTATGCTTGTACACTTAGGAACCGAGCCAGGCACTAAAGCATACAGACTACTTGATCCCTCAAGCAAGAAAATAATAGTCAGTAGGGATGTAGTATTTGATGAGACAACAACCTGGAAGTGGAAGGATGAAGAAAGCAGTGCAGAACACAACCCTGGAAACTTTACAATCTCTTTCTCTGAGTTTGGAAACAATGGTGTTCATAATGAACCCGAAGGAGGAGAGGGTACTAATGAAGAAGTTACAGAGGAAGCTGCAGAAGAAAATGCAGATGAAACTACCGAGAATAATGGTGATCAAAACGAACCTGAGAACATAGAGGAGCCTATTCAACTGAGAAAGTCAAGCAGAGTTGGTAAGAAACCAAGCTACTTGGAGGACTACATATACGTAGCAGAGGTAGAAGGAGAAAGACTTCTACTAATGATCAATGATGAACCTTTCGAGTTCAGTGATGCTGTGAAAGAGAAAGTGTGGAGAGATGCGTGTCAAGAAGAGATCAATTCAATCAATAAGAACAAAACCTGGACTTTGGTTGAGTTACCTGCAGGAGCAAAAGCTATTGGCCTTAAGTGGATCTTTAAGATCAAAAGAAACTCAGACGGAAGCATAAACAAATACAAATCAAGATTAGTAGCAAAAGGTTACATCCAAAGGTATGGAGTTGATTATGAAGAAGTATTCGCTCCTGTTGCACGCATAGAGACCATCAGATTCATCATCGCATTAGCAGCATCCAAAGGATGGGAAGTTCATCATCTGGACGTTAAAACAGCTTTTCTAAACGGAGAACTAAAAGAAGATGTATATGTGGCTCAACCAGAAGGATTTGTAGTTGAAGGTGAGGAAACAAAAGTATACAAACTGCATAAGGCTCTATACGGTTTGAAGCAAGCTCCTAGGGCGTGGAATGAGAAACTAAATACAGTTCTCAATACTCTTGGTTTCAAGAAGTGTACTAAAGAGCCTTCATTGTACCGAAGGAAAAGAGAAAGAGATCTATTGTTGGTGGCTGTGTATGTGGACGATCTTCTTGTTACAGGATCAAGTCTTGACATGATTCTTGCCTTTAAAACCGAGATGTCAAAACAGTTTGACATGAGCGACTTAGGTAAACTAACCTACTACCTAGGCATAGAAGTGATACAAGACTTGGGAGGAATCACCTTGAAACAAGAAAGATATGCAAGAAAAATATTAGAAGAAACAGGGATGGATGACTGCAATGCGGTTCAAACACCTATGGATGCAGGACTAGTTCTATCAAAGGCAGAAACAGAACAAGACGTAGAAGAGAAGGAATTTCGAAGAGTCATTGGGTGTCTACGGTACTTACTACATACAAGGCCAGATTTGTCGTTTGCAGTGGGAGTTTTAAGTAGGTATATGCACAAGCCTAAAGACTCCCATAGCATTGCCCTGAAACAAGTACTAAGATACCTCAAAGGGACTACTTCATATGGACTTACGTTTAGAAGAACAGACAGAATCAAGCTTGTGGGTTACAGCGATAGCAGTCACAACGTTGACACAGATGATGGACGGAGTACTACTGGACACGTCTTCTATTTCAGTGAGTGTCCAATAACGTGGTGTTCAAGCAAACAGGATACAGTGGCATTATCATCATGTGAAGCAGAGTTTATGGCTGCAACAGAGGCTGCTAAGCAAGCCATATGGCTTCAAGAACTCTTGGCTGAGATCACAGAAGATAAGACTGAGAAGGTAACCATTCGTATTGATAATAAATCTGCAATAGCACTTACCAAGAACCCTGTATTCCACGGAAGGAGCAAACACATACACAAACGCTATCATTCTATAAGGGAGTGTGTTGACAATGAGCAAGTAGAAGTAGAGCATGTTGCAGGCAATTTACAGAGTGCAGACATTTTGACAAAAGCGCTGGGAAGAATCAAATACAAAGAAATGCGAGATTTGATAGGAGTTCAAGATTTGAATCAAGTTGAGATCAAGTTTAAGAGGGACATTGTTGGAGATAAACTTGACAACAACTTGATAAGCAAGCTACCGAGTTCCTAATATATAGGAGATTAGGATAAAAGAGAATATACTTACCTAATGAGTTTAGGAAGTTCTACGAATCTATATAAGGAGTTGTTAAAGTNTAGGATAAAAGAGAATATACTTACCTAATGAGTTTAGGAAGTTCTACGAATCTATATAAGGAGTTGTTAAAGTTGTGACAACCTTTATGAGTTTGTGAGAGATTCTTAGTGAGAGCTTAAGTTTTTGAGAGATTTTTCTTGAGCTAATAAAAGGGTTTTCTTATAATCTTACGTTTACTATTTGAAGTTAAATCAATATTGCAAACAATTATTCAGTGTCCCAGTCTTAGCTGGGAGACAGGGAGAGTCCTGAGACTGAAAACTTTCAGGCGTTCAGTCCTTTAGTATTCATTTAAAAACATGATTTCACTTTGGAGTGGTCAATCTTATTTAAGGTTTGGTTGATTTTATTGGTTTTACAGAATTAAAACCAAACAAAAATCATTTGTAATATTTCAGTTGATTTCGAAATGGTTCTGCTAGAACTTCACACTGTTTATAGGAAACATATACATAGTTACAATCTATCCATGCTCAATTAAGATTCCAGATATTACAGACAAGTATATCCACTGTAAAAAGCCCTTTCACAAATGAAACTATTCCAACACCTTTTGGTTTCAGATATTACATAACACTATAAAAACCCCTTTCACAAATGGGTAGCCTTCCTCTATTTGGGCTATTGCTGGTCCAGCATATCTATTGTTTTATATGATGAACCTATTATTAATCGTGATAAAATGGACCGCTACATCTTCGACGCGCGATAGGAAACGAAACTGGTAATTTAATCATTATAACCTCTAATGGGTTCTAATGGATGGACATGCTCTAAGCCTGTTAATCACAACGAGGGCAAAAGTATCGGACTATTGACATCCACACATTTATAGTTGATTTTGACTATTATAAACTACTCGAGTTATGGTCACACAAAACTCTCAATTATTCCACGTACGGAAACTAATTAAACACTAGGAGGGAATGGTTTTATTTTGTTTTAGGTATTTGTCAACCAGACACATATAGTCATCCATCATTGGACATTGGGTAAGCAGCAGATCACAACTTGTTGCAAACCATATAGTGTTAACACGTGACTCGGACATCTGATCTCTCTACCTTTTTTTATTCAATGTTCTTTCCAGCTTATTATAGTTCATTACATTGCAGAGCCTAACCAAGTCCAATTCTTGACTACTACATAATTTTCATTAATTAATTTTCACTTTTTCTTTTGAACTCATCATGTTTTTTCTACGTATCTAGCGTAGTCAACCATGGAAATTCTTTGTTCTACTCAAAATAATCTAAAAATTTATTATGATGCTATATTGAAAAAAATGCTATAATTTTCAGATATATAATTATATACTATTGGACAGTAGAAGTAGACACCTCGTTTTCTAAAGTATATACATTGGAAAAGCCAATTCAGACACTACTTATCTCTAGTCTTCACCTTCCTTTTCAATTCCATTTTTTTTTCTATTAATATAATTATATTTCCTTCTAAAACCAAAAAGATAAAGAGAGACAAAAAAACTAAAAAGAAAAGAGGACTAAGTTATTGACGATGAGAGGAAGAGGTGAGGGAGATGAATCAGAGTCACTGTTGAAAAGCCCTAGCACTGTGGAGGAAGATGGTGGAGGGTTGAAGAAGAGAGTTTGGGTTGAGACAAAGAAGCTATGGCAAATCGTTGGTCCTGCCATGTTCAGTAGATTAACTTCATATTCGATGCTTGTAATAACTCAAGCTTTTGCTGGTCATCTTGGAGATCTTGAACTAGCCGCAATATCCATCGTTAACAACGTTATCATCGGCTTTAACCTCGGCCTTTTGGTAAGTTTTCATATTCTTTTTCCTTTTTGTTTAACCTAATATGAGAATCAATACCTTGGTGCAGCTTGGAATGGCGAGTGCGTTGGAAACGTTGTGTGGGCAGGCGTTTGGAGCAAAGAAATATCATATGTTGGGAGTTTATATGCAGCGTTCTTGGATTGTTCTCTTCTTTTGTTGTCTTTTGTTATTACCGACTTATCTTTTCACAACTCCGGTTCTCAAATTTCTTGGTCAACCAGACGATATCGCTGAGGTTTCTGGTGTTGTCTCCCTTTGGGCCATCCCTCTCCATTTCTCTTTCGCTTTGTCTTTCCCTCTTCAACGTTTCCTCCAGTGCCAACTCAAAAACCACGTACGTTATTCTGTCTAAATTGTTTTATTTTGATTAGTGTGTATCAGTGTATGTGTGGATCGCTTAAATAATCTCCTATGCATGGCTAAGAAAATGTAACTTAATTCGTGATAGAAATCAAACATGCTAGTACTAATATATTACGTTTTGGTCAAACATTTTTTTATCACTAGACTACCACGGTTTGGTTTGATGTAACTGAACGTAAATAATTATTTTGTACCTTTGTTGTTTTTGCTTGCAACCAAAAAAGTCTCACATGTTTGTGTTTCTATGCAATGATTAAACTAAACTGAAAATATCCAACTTAGTATTATATTAATCATGTTTAATCATAAAAGACATACACAAAGAAAAGTACCTATGAATGCTTTTAGAAGTATAGTATGAAGCAAGAAGCAGCTATAATTGTTTATGATAAATCTTTTATTTGATGACAAATTTTGTGACTAATCGTATCTTTGGGGGTTATTTAGGTGCCTGCGTACTCGGCTGCGGTTTCATTAGTGGTTCACATTTTAGTGTGTTTGTTGTTTGTTAATGGGCTTAAACTCGGAGTCGTGGGAACTATGGCTACGGTTAGCATATCTTGGTGGGTTAATGTTCTTATTACATTATCTTACTCGGTTTGTGGCGGCTGTCCACTCACTTGGACTGGCTTATCCTCCGAAGCCTTCACCGGGCTTTGGGAGTTCCTCAAACTGTCCGCTTCTTCCGGCGTCATGCTTTGGTACCCTAAGAATATACATGCTTCTTTTGACATTGTCTAATGAGCCATTCACAATCTTTAACGGTAGATGTTTGGTTTTTGGACAGTTTGGAAAATTGGTATTATCGGATTTTGATCATAGTGACTGGAAATCTTCAAAATGCTCAAATAGCCGTTGACTCTTTGTCTATATGGTACGTCATTTTGGTTAATGCTAGTTTATATATTTGTTTATACTCTCGTGATGCTCGATGAAGAGAAAAGTCGTCAGTTATATAATCTTATCGTATGGTTACGTCTACTTTTTGGGTTGTTGCGGAAAGGTCAGAACTGGCTTGTTTTTTTCTTGTTATCTTTCTCTTGTTTTCTAATCAGTGATTATACCTTCATTTATGATTAACTTGTGAAACAAAACTGTTGGCAGCATGGCAATAAATGGATGGGAGATGATGATTCCTCTCGCTTTCTTTGCCGGAACCGGGTACAATAAAAATCTATCTTCTCTATTACTGATTTCTAGACCGGTTTATGATCATGATTTAACTGGATCCAGTTTGGTTTAGTCCACTTTCTTACTACCATATAAAGTAGTAAGTGTACTACCATTATCTTCTTACTTGGAATAATATACTTTCTAAGGAACGTTATTTTCTGGAAGATTTAGGAAACAGAAACATAACGTTTGGCATATTGGTTAGATTCGTCTAACATTTTGTATCTTCTTCCGTGTTTGTTTTTATGCTTCTTGTTTTTTACCAACATGTCTTGTTGGCTGAATAAGACTTTACGAGGACACAAGTTAGAGATGATTCCTCCTTTCTATTCTAACTTTTTGTTGTTCATTTGTTTTAATTGCCATCATGGTATTTTTAGTGGAGTATATAGATGACATTTTGTGGCCATAAGATTAGCCGCCTGATTTTATGCGATAGGAAATGATTGATCTCTTTTAACACAGGAATAATTGAACCATAATTTTATCATACTTAGTTGAGGGATTATGTTTTAAACCAACCCTTTGTGTGTGTGTTAATTTTCATCTAAAAACCTTATTAAATTCAGTTGACCTTATAAAATTCATTTAACAAATTAAAAAGAAATATAATTAGATGAAAATATAGAAACAATCAAGATGCTATATAATCAATACTTTGATAGCATTTCCTGACGGGCTTCCTTTGCTAGTTAGACCGTGAATAGATGAACGCTTCTGATTATAGATCGAGATTTCAGAACTGTAGAAAAATATATGTTAAACTCTTCCAACAGTGAGCTTAACCTATTATTCGCAGGTGGGAATGTAAATCTCTAAGAATATTTGTTTAACCATATGAAAACTTATAAAATGTTCTTATAGCTTATGGTGGCCCACTACAAATCCAAAAACTATTGAACAAAAAAATACGTTGTTAAAAACACAAATATAAATTGAATGAAACCCTTCACAGTCTACTTATTAGCTATACTGATACAAAATTTTAAACTGAATTTAGACTGATTATACACTAATCCTTGCAGGGTACGTGTGGCAAACGAGTTGGGAGCAGGTAACGGGAGAGGAGCAAGATTTGCGACGGTTCTATCAGTAACACAATCGTTAATAATTGGATTATTTTTCGGGGCGATAATAATGGTTTTCCACAACCAACTCGCTTGGATATTTTCTTCAAGTGAACCCGTCTTAGCTGCCGTTAATAAACTCTCCATCCTGTTAGCTTTCACTATACTTCTTAACAGCATTCAACCAGTTCTTTCTGGTATGTGAAAATTTGATTACTTAACTTAAATATTAAGACAATGATTTTTCTGTTAACTTTTTATTTGCGAGTAGGTGTTGCGGTTGGATCAGGCTGGCAATCCTACGTAGCATATATAAACTTGGGGTGCTATTATTGCATCGGTCTTCCATTTGGATTTCTAATGGGATGGGTTTTTAAATTTGGTGTTATGGTAATGTCAATTTTCATTAGTTATAATTTAATTTATTTTTGATGTATATGACTAAATTTTCTTTTTTTGGAACTGATGTATATGACTAAATATTTTGTGACTTTATAGGGTATTTGGGCTGGCATGATCTCTGGAGGCACTGCAGTTCAGACACTGATCTTATGTTTTATCACATTGAGATGTGATTGGGAAAAGGAGGTAAAACTAAAATCTTGCATATATTTGTATTTGATCATTATGAGAATTCAAACTTAGCTTATAGCATTTGTAAAACTAAACTTTGCAGGCGCAAAAGGCAAATGCTCGTGTTAACAAATGGTCCAACACTATAAAATGAGGATTAGACGGGGTACATGTAACTCATTATATACTCGTATAAAAATGTCGAACTTCGACAAAAAAAATTCTTGTCTGATTTACTGAATAATTTGATCTGTGTGTTTAAGACGGTATATCTTGTTATCAAAATGTGATACTTACTGTATACTGGTTCAAATATAACAGATGCTTATTTTCATTAAATGCAGTAATACAAAAATGTCTTTGTAAATTTCATTATAAAAGCCTGTCTTGTGTGCCAATATCAGAAAATAGTTGCATATTAAACTAGCTTTTCATAGTTACATATATATTGCTTTTACCACTATGTTATCACCAATTCACAACTCAACTCCATTTCACTATATATTTATGAACATGTTACCACAGTCAAATAAGGTCTATG